ACTGATGAAATTAGTTTTTGCTGCTCACCCACTAGGAAATCATGATTAGAGACTGTCACAGGCTTTCTAATTGTTTAAAAATTAGAACTGTAATAAAGAATGATGAAATACATTATACAGAGTTAGATGTGCAGACACAAACTGGATATTGGTACAACTACCTCCTACACTTGAATGGATAGAATCACCTTATACTTGCACAAAATTCTAATACAAATAACTAATAAAAGCACATAGCCAATTGTTAAATATATCGCTTATCCGCTATAAATATGACTGAAACCCCAAATAATTTTTCTTTGAGATATAATAATTTCGCTGCTACTTCAAATAATAATATTTCATTTCTTATATTAGCTTTTTTTCGTCATATTAAATTCTTTTTTCTCATAATTTTGCTTTTTTTTTAATTTGTCTTTACCAATATTCTGCTTTTTTTTCTTTTATTTTATCTTTTTCTTGTCATATAAATTTTTTGCTTTTTTTTTTTTTTAATTCATCTTTTCCAATATCAAATAATATCCATTTCTTTTCTTTTTTATATTTCTTTTTTTCTTGACATATTAAATTCTTTTCTTAAATTTTTCTTTCCTTTTTTTTTAATTCATATTTTTCCAATATACAAACTAGCTCAAACACTCTAAACTATATTTATAAATCACCTACAAACCTGTATCAAAGGTTTTGTAATACCTACACGTATAATCGAATAGTAATTACTAAAAATCCAAAATATAAAAAGGAGTTATTGTGTAATGAGTGTAATGATGAGTGAAAAGAAATAAAAAACAAACCAATACATAAAATTAAGAACATCATCAAAAATCTTACTCCCATGATACCTATTGTTTAAAACTTCAACACTAGTGCCACCAACCTCAATACCGCTACTCATATCCTTAATGCTACCAACATCAATGCCGCTTATAACCTTAATGCAGCTAATACTATTAACACCAACATCCTAACCACTCAAACCCTTAATCTTGCCAACACCAATATCATTTAGCCTTCTCTTAACCTCAGTGCTACCGATATTAATATTATAGAGTCGACTCATAACCTTGGTGTTGCCCCAAATAATATAGTGACTAAAAACAATTTAATATTTATTTATAAATCATCTACAAACCTGTATCAAAGGTTTTGTAATGTCTACGCGTATAATCGAATAGTAATTACTAAAAATTCAAAATATAAAAAGAAATTATTGTGTAATGAGTGTAATGATGAGTGGAAAGAAATAAAAAACAAACCAACACACAAAATAGAGAACATCATCGAAAATCTTACTTCCATAATACCTATCATCCAAAACTCCAACACTAGTGCCACCAACCTCAATACCGCTACTCATATCTTTAATGCAACTAACATCAATGCCACTCATAACCTTAATACAGCTAATACTATTAACACCAATATCCTAACCACTCAACCTCTTAATCTTGCCAACACCAATATCATTCTGCCTTCTCATAACCTCAGTGCTACTGATATCAACATCATAGAGTCTACCTATAACCTTGGTGTTGCTCAAAATAATATAGTAACTAAAAACAATTTAACATATATTTATAAATCACTTACAAACCTGTATTAAAGATTTTGTAACGCCTACACGTATAATCGAATAGTAATTACTAAAAATCTAAAATATAAAAAGAAGTTATTGTGTAATAAGTGTAATATTGAATGGAAAGAAATAAAAAACAAACCAATACATGAAATAGAGAATATCATCAAAAATCTTACTCCCATGATATCTATCATCCAAGACTCCAACACTAGTGCCACCAACCTCAATACCACTACTCATATCCTTAATGCTACCAATATTAATGTCGCTTATAACCTTAATGCAGCTAATACTGCTAACACCAACATCCTAACCACTAATAGTCTTACTTATAACCTTAATGTAGCCAATACCGCTAACACCAATACCCTAACTACTCATAATTTTAATGTTGCCAACATCAATACTATTCATAACCTTAATGCATTCAATACTGCTAGCACCAATATCCTGACCACTCATAGCCTTAATCTTGCCAACACCAATATTATTCAGCCTTCTTATAGCCTCAATACTACTGATATCAATATAACTCAGCCTACCTATAACCTCAGTTCTACCGATATTAACACCATTCAACCAACCAATAACTTTAGTAATGCTTCTGTTATAGTTCCATGAATGATTGCAAAAGCAAGCTGTAGAAATTATTAATGATACAAATAAAAAAATCGCCAAATGTCAAAGAGCCTATAACTTAACAAATAACTTTGAGGCTCGAATCAACTTAATGAATAATATACAAGATCACAAACAAGCTCTCTATGCAGAAAATAAGAGAATTAAACATCTACAAAAGCAAGCAGAGTATAAACGTAATAGTATAGAAAAAAGGTTATTATTAATATTAATAATATAGTACAGTCACCTCCTATATAATCACTCACTCTTTACAAGCACCACTTTTTTGAAAAATTATTGGCAATATATTTATTAAAAAAACTCTATATAATTACATTACTATTAAAATTTTATAATCATATCTTTTTTATATAAAATAAACAGCATGATTATAGAGGTGGACAACTGTAATATTTAATTTAAATTTAAATTCTAATACTTACTACTCTAGTTCTTATTAGAAATAAACTTTTAGAAGAAAATCAGGTGATTGTTAAGTATGATAAACCTAGCCGTCCATTTTTCTTACAAAAATATCTCGATTTACTTAATCAAATCCATAAGAATATTGAGTTTGGGGCTGCAGATGAAAAAAGAAGAAGAGAGGTGATAAAAGTTAGAACAGTTGGCCATCTTGCAGAAAATCTTAATAATATATATGGTGAATATATATCTAGAACAACTGTAAATAATTATCTATTGCTATCTCATTCAAACTCAATAGCAGCCAAAGCCCATCATCATCCTGCAAATATCATGGTTTCTTCAGTTTCTAGAACTGATAAAACTGAGCACCCAGATGAACATTATTGTCTTGTTTCCATAAAGGTGACAAGACTATTTGCATTATTATTTTCAAATTTTTTAATTATCATTTCACAAGATAATAAGGCCAAAGTTCCTTTTGGTATCCCAGCAGTAAGTAGAACCTTCAAAGCTATATAAACAATTAGAAAGCCTGTGACAGTCTCTAATCATGATTTCCTAGTGGGTGAGCAGCAAAAACTAATTTCATCAGT